ATAGTGCATGCAGACTTCTTTACGTGTGCTCACTTTGTTACAGGGCACACGCCAAAACTATGTGCCCAAACAGGCTGTACCCTAAAAGATCCTCTACTCCAGTAAAGGTTCCTAATTTGCCACACTACCTGTCTTATTATCCTTCTTTACATCTGGTAGAATTTCTCACATCTGGTTTTACTAACGGGTTTCACACAGGTTTTGTCACACTCCCCACAGGTATATTGGAATGCCCCAACCTAAAGCCAGCACTCACAGACCCCAGTAGCATACAAGAACTCCTACTCAAAGAAATTAACAATGGTTTCATGATAGGGCCTTTCACAACGCCACCTTTTTCCTCCTGGAGAATAAACCCTCTAGGCATAGCCACAGGGAAATTTTAATAATAAAAAGAGACTTATAATTGATTTTTGGCACCTCACTCTTCTACTACACCAAGCTTGAATGCACTAATTCCCTCAGAAGATTTCTCCCTTCAGTATGCTAGAATTGATGATGCCATACAAGCCATCATTCATTCCAGGAAGGCTGTGTGGTTAAGCAAAACCGACATAATGAATGCATTTAAATTATTACCTATACATCAGTCACTCTGGCACCTGCATGGCATTAAGTGGGAATACAGGTATTATTTCGCTACCAGGCTAACTTTCGGCTCCAAGAGTAGCCCCAAGATATTTTATATCTTAGCCGAAACGTTAACCTGGCTCCTACTTAACAAGTGCAGATGTCCAGTAGTCATCCACTATTTAGACGACTTCTCACTATCGAACCACACCACTGCACACCAAGCAGCCTACGTCACATGCTCTCTCAATTTAAAGATCTAGGAGTCCCTGTTGCCCCAGACAAAACAGAAGGTCCTAACACCGAGATTACTTTCCTGGGTTTAACACTCAATTCCGTGTCTATGCAAGCCAGCCTGCCCCAAGAGAAAGTAGACAGAATTCTCTCATACATCGACATTTGCACATCACAAGGCTCTTGCACCAGGAAACAGCTACATTCACTACTCGGGTCACTTAATTTTGCAATGAGGATAATACCACAGAGGAGGTCTTTCATTTCCAGGATTCTCTCTATCCTTCACAGGCTCCCTGACAACGACTCCACAGCCCTATTAGACAAACCAGCTAGAGCAGATCTTAAAATGTGGCATCAGGTGCCATAGGCTACGCAGCAATTTTTGGCAATGACTGGGTGTACGACTCTTGGCCACTAGAGACTACCACCCTAGAGAATTTCAATACCACCTCAGCACTATTCGAAATCTTCCCAATCATAGCTGTTGCACACATTTTAGGTAAAGAATGGACACGGCAATCGGTCAGGTGCTTTTCAGATAACTTGGCGGCATGTAATATTATTAACAAAGGCCGCTCTCAGTCCCTTACTATTATGAACTTGGTAAGGAGACTTACCTGGCTAGCGGCAAACCTACAATTCTGTATTAATTGCATTCACGTACCAGGTATTCAAAACAACGCAGCTGACGCGCTCTCACGCTCTAATTTACAGGAATTTTTCAGAGTTCATCCATCAGCAAACGCGCAATCCAGAGAACCTCCGAGCTTCACAGACTTAATTATGCTTTAAATGCCCTGTTACTCCATAGTAGGTCGCTCGCACGGGCTCGTTTATCTCTTAATATGAGAAAAGCATATTCCAGAGTATATGATTTGTTTAAAAGATTTGTTTGTGATTATTATGTAATAAATGTTTTTTCCTTAGAAACCATGGTCGCATTTACAACTTTTTGCCACATTTCTCTTAAATTAGCAAACAATACAATCAAACTTTACTTAACGGGCATACAACACTACATGTTCACCAGTTATCCCAACAAAACTCAATTTCTAGCATCCTACCCAGTTAAAAGTGTCCTTAAAGGTATTCAGAGACTAACAGTACATACTTCCATTAAGAGACTTCCCATAGATAGTATACTGTTTAGGAGTATCTCTGATTTACTAGACAAGTCCCCTTTTGACCAGGTCACGAACCTGATAATCAAATCCAAAGCCTACATAGCCTTCTACGGTTTCTTGAGACCTAAAGAATTTTCTGTAGAAAAGGCGTCCGATTTTAAGTCATGCCTTCAGCGTAAAAACCTAACTAAAAAACAGGACCACTATATTCTGTCAATTACTCATACCAAAATGGGTCAAACTGGTCCACCAGTAGAGATTAAATATTACCCTACCTCTACCAAATGGTGTCCAATCCACATTCTGGATAAACTAGTGGAATCTCAACTTTCTTCTGACCCTGATTCCCCACTATTGGCCATTCAAGGGAAACCCCTAACAACCAAACAATTCATGGTTTACATTGGTACGTTATAACTCTGACTAGGACACAACATTCATTCTCGGGCCATTCATTCCGTATTGGAGCAGCCACAGCCGCCTCCGGAAATCACGTACCAACACATATCATTAAAAATATGGGACAGTGGAAATCACCCGCATACAGCAGATACATCCCTAATCCTGAGAAAGAAATAAGATTGGCTTTCCGTGAAATGTCTAAGTAATGTATTGCTCAATAAATGTATCTGACTTCAAGAATTGCTTCTTATATTTTTGCCCTCTTTTACAGGTCTAACCTTCGGCACACCTCAACTGACTTTGCTCTTACTACATTTTCTTCTTATTATACCATACATCCTCTAAATGTGCCGTACACAAATGGAATGCTTGGCCTGTAATTGTGGGAGGGACTATGACCCATATTTAAACCCAGTGAGCCCCTGCTTACCTGTCGTCAACGATCTCGGAAGTTCCCCTCCCACTGCACCCTCTATTTATTCTCACATCTCCTAGATGGGCCCTCTTTTACAGGTCTAACCTCACGTCAGTTTCGGCACACCTCAACTGACTTTGCTCTTACTACATTTGCTTCACATTATACCATACGATCTCTAATTGACAACTTAACTCACAAAAAAGCTTATCAAATCATTTCCAAAACACCTACAGCTCGAATTAGGAAATCTGGTTCCTTCCAATCCTCAGATGGGAGCTTTCTACATGCTGCCCAAAATCCACAAGTCGGAAAGCTCAGGACGGCCAATTATAACAGGTGTGGGAACACTCACTGAAAAAATATTTGGTCCAATAGAAAACATTCTTGAGCCTTAGTTATTAAAACTGAGAGCTTTATACAGGACACTTCCTCAATAAACTTAGCCAGATAAATGAACTACCTGAAAACACTATACTAGGCCCTGGGGAGATAGCGCAGCTAAGCGGACAAGGGCACATGTAGGAGTGTGGGGATAGATACAGGGGAGGGACTTGGGAACTGTGCATGGGAGGGGTTAGGCTTAATGTAAGTTGGTGTGGGGGAGGTTTTACCTCAGTGCCACTTGGGATTCGGGCCAGCAAACAGCTTCTTGTCTTCCAGCTCCTGTTTGCCTGGGCCTGCAGATTGACACAGCTTGAGGGATGGATATTGAGGCGATCCTGTCGTCCCTCAGGGCTGCTGCTGCGCTGGATGGTGGCCGGCAACTAAGGGAGCAATTTCTGAGCATGAGTGGAGGTATGGCTGTCGGTGTGGGCACCCCCCGTGGCCTACCCTCCCCTGGAGCACCCCCTGAGGGCTCCCCTGCTGCTCCCCCTGCGGTCCCTGCCCCTGGGGGCCGCACCAGCACTGGCAGGCGTTCCCGTCCGCCTGCCAGGCTATCACCGGATGCTACTCCTCGGGCCCGGTTGAGGAGCAGGAGCCCGGGCCCGAGGCACCGCCAGAACCGCGTGTCTGGGGCTCCAGACACGCGGCCTATTGCTGGAGGCCGGAATCTGCGGCCTACTGCGGCCGCGCGGGTGGCACGGCCTTCAGCCACGAGGCCTGCCACCTCCGCGCGGCCTGCACTATCCTCAGCCGCCCGGCCGGCTACTACCAGGCCGGGGATTCGGCCTGCAACGGCCGCGCGGCCTACTGCTGCGGCTGCCGCGCGGCCTGCTCTTCCCCTCCCATCTACACCATCCGCCCCGGCCGCCGTTGGAGGATTGCGGGCCGGGGGCGGTGGGCGGCGGATCCAGTCATCCGGGCGGCCGCCCGGCAGCGGTCCAGGTCCCCCCGCGGCCGGCGGGGGGGTAGGGCGGTGAGTGGGCCCTCGCGGGCCATCGGGAGCCTCCTCTGACAGTGAGGAAGGCTCCCAGGGCTCAGTCTCCCCTGTCCCCCATCCTTCCCCTGTTTCCTCTGTTTCTTCTTCCAGGGGGCCCAGCTTAGCCTTGGCTGGGCCCCCTGCCTTTCCAGTGTCCTCTGCCCCCCCCCCCTCTACTTGGTGGGTCTGCCCCTGCTCTCTCTGTCTTCCCCCCTCCCTCCGTTTTTTCTCCCCCCCCTTCTTCCTTTCCTCCCCCCTTGTCTTCCTCCTCTCTATTGTCCTTCCCCCCCTCTGCCTTGTCTGGGCCCCCTCCCCCCCTTCAGGTCACTTACCTCGGCCATCTCCTCAGGGGCATGGGCTCACGTCTGATCTGCTGCTTTCTTCACAGGATACTGCTGCAGTTCATCAATCCGTCCAGCAGGTGGCGCCTGGAACACAGCTGATTTCTTCTGTGGCTGCTTGAAATGCTGATTCTTTACCTTCTGTGAGCGCAGCACCGGGCTTGGATCGCCAGTCTGCGACCGGTAAGTACTTTGTTCCCTCCGCTTCTGGCGCTGCGAGTCCCGGGTTGGGAGGGTTCCTCTCGGGTCTTAGGGTTTTTTTGGATCAGTGGGAGCGTGGGATGGCAGTTAGTGGGGGCGCTTCGGTGGACGGTCAACTCCGGTCGGCTTGGTCCCCGGCCCTGCTCCCTCCTAATATTCAGGCTTCTCCCCCTCCTGGGCCTCTGCTCGGGGTGGGGGGCGGTACGGTGCCCCTGGGTTCCCCGGCACCCGCGGTGGCCAGTGTTGGCGCCGCCTCGGTTGATGCTGGGCTCGAAGGGGGGGTTCCGGACGTAGCGCGGGGTGCTGCTTACATGTGCTGGTCTGGCCCTCTGGGCTTGCACTTGAAGCAGGAAACGAAGGAAAAAATTTGGAAAGGGGAATTTGTGGAGATATTTTCTCTCCTGCCGCTGGAGGAAGCTCCTCCCGTGGCGGACAAGGACAGTAAGGAGTCGGAGAAGGATAGGGAGAAGTACCGTTTCCGCAAAATTCCCAAGACCGTTGGGAACTGGATTCGGGCGTTCTCTGTTTTAGCCAGCGTGGTTGGGGAGAAGTTTCCCCACAGGTGCTCCGCGCTGTTCTGTTACCAGGACATGATCTGGAATGCTTGTCGCACCTATGGGGGGCTGGGTTGGTGGAGATACGATGAGCAGTTTCGGCAGCGACTGGCAGTGCGTCCCTCGCTGTCATGGGATCAGATGGATATCGGCCTCTGGCTTTCCATCATGACTCGCCCTGCCCCTCAACAGGGTGCGTTTTCATCCTTTCTTGGGGGGGCCGGTGGGGGCGCGCCTTCCTCCTCATCGGCCTCAGGTCCAAAGTCTGGCTGTTGTTGGAGGTTTAACGACAGTCACTGCAAATGGGGGTCTTCCTGCCGGTTTAAGCACGAGTGCTCCGGCTGCGGCGGAGCCCATTCCGCCGCTCGCTGTTTTAAGAGGGGTAAAACGGGTGAGAGAGGGGACATGGGAGCTAAGGGCAACGACTCCGGTTCTCATAAACGCGATGCGCCCGTGGCTCGACCTTTATAGGAATCGGGCCGCGGCGCGGATCCTGGTGGAGGGGTTTGAGCATGGGTTTTGGATCCCGTTCGCTGAACGCCCTCCGCTGCTCTCAGTACGCAACCTCAAGTCGGTGCAGGCTTTCCCTCAGGTGGTACGGGAAAAATTGGTTAAGGAGGTTTCAATGGGGAGGATGGCCGGCCCTTTCTCCTCCCCACCGATGGCTAATTTGCGGGTCTCTCCTTTGGGTGTGGTGCCTAAGAAGGATCCCGGGAAGTATCGTTTGATTCACCATTTGTCATACCCTCGAGGGGGTTGGGTGAATGACGACATTTCCGCTGAGCTTTGTAGGGTCTCCTATGCTTCCTTCGATGCAGCGGTTCGCATGGTTAGGGCGGCGGGCCCAGGGGCGTTGCTGGCTAAGGCGGATGTGGAATCCGCTTTCCGGCTGCTCCCGGTACATCCGGAGTGCCATCATCTTTTAGGGTGCACCTTTGAGGGTCAGTTTTTCGTGGACATGTGCCTCCCTATGGGCTGCTCGCTGTCCTGTTTCTATTTTGAGTGCTTTAGCACTTTTCTGGACTGGGTGGTGCGGAAGGAAGCCGGGGTCGCCTCCCTCCTGCACTACCTTGATGATTTCCTGTGTGTGGGTCCGGCGGGATCCCACGTCTGTGCCCTCCTGCTGCGGGTTCTCGGGGAAGTGTTTCAGCGCTTCGGGGTCCCGTTGGCTCATGACAAGACGGTGGGTCCAGTCACGTGTCTGAGCTTTCTGGGCTATGAAATTGATTCGATGGCTGGGGTATGTCGGCTGCCGCAGGATAAGGTGGTGGACCTGCGCCTGGCGGTGTCCCGGGCCCTGGGGCGGCGTAAGATACAGCTGCGCTGCCTGCAGTCTCTGCTCGGGAAGTTCAATTTTGCCTGTCGAATCCTGCCTATGGGGCGCATCTTTAATCGGCGCCTGGCGGCAGCGACGTCAGGGGTCGTTCACCCGCAGCATTTTATTCGGCTTACTCGGCCCTTGCGGGCTGACTTGGCCGTTTGGGATTCCTTTTTGGCCTCCTATAATGGCAGGTCCTACTGGCAGGCCCCGGAGGTTTCTAACGCAGACCTCCATTTGTTTACCGATGCGGCGGGCTCGGGTGGCTTTGGGGCCATTCTGGGCACGAAATGGTGCGCTGACTCTTGGCCGGTGGCCTGGCAGGAAACGGGGCTCACTCGAAACTTGGCGTTTCTGGAGCTATTTCCTATCGTGGTGGCTCCTGAGGTGTGGGGTCCCATGTTGGTGGACAGACGGGTGGTCTTCCATTGTGATAACCTAGGTGTGGTGCAGGCGATCAACCAGCTGTCTGCTTCCTCTCCCCCCGTGGTTCGCCTGCTGCGGCGCCTAGTTCTGCGCTGTCTAGAGCTGAATGTGTATTGTAGGGCGGTGCATATCCCGGGTGTTCGTAATGTGATGGCCGATGCTCTCTCTCGTTCACAGTGGGACGTGTTTCGGGCAGTGGCTCCGCAGGCCGAATTGGTGGGTGTCCCGTGTCCGACGGAGATGTGGTCCTTGGGTCTGACCGACTAATGGAGCTGGTCCGTGGGTCGGTGGCGGCGGCCACGTGGGACCGCTATAACAAGGTCTGGAGGGAATGGGACGGGTGGGAGAGGTCCAAAGGGGGTTTCGGGGACTCCTCCGCTCGCCTGCAGGGTTTGGTTCTTCTCTTTAGGGATTGGGAGGCTGCGGGGTTGTCTCCCTCGGCCGTTTCGGCACGCTTAGCGGGACTCAGCTTCCTGTTTAAGTTGCGGGGTTGGGACGACGCTACCAAAGCATTCCCCATACGGCAGGCGCTAAAAGGTTTGAGGAGGGGGCAGGTGTCTACGCGAGACTCGAGGCGTCCTGTCTCGGGTACGCTCCTAACTGCTTTGTGTGAGGCGCTGCATAGGGTGTGCCATTCGGATTTTGAGGTTCGGCTTTTTCGCCTAGCCTTTTCCTTGGCATTCTTTGGGGCTATGCGGATTGGGGAGCTGGTGTGCCCCAGCCGGCGGCTAGTGGGGGGGTGCTGTTCGGGGATGTCTCATGTACCGCTGACCGGATCTCGTTCAGGATTCGCCGCTCTAAGACGGATGTCTTGGGGAGGGGTAAGTGGGTCCGATTGGGGTCCGTGCCGGGTTCCGGCATTTGTCCTGTTTGGTCCTTTGGGGAATATTGTGCTCTGCGCCCTTCCTCCGCGTTGCCACTACTGGTGCACGGGGATGGTAGTTTCCTTTCCCATTTCCAGTTTATTAGAGTTTTTCGTTTGGGGCTGGAGGCTGTGGGAGTGGATAGCAGGGAGTTTGGGGGCCATTCGTTCCGTATTGGGGCAGCTACTGAGGCCTCGAGGCTTGGCATGCCGGCGCAGGTAGTTCAAAGGATTGGTAGGTGGGACTCGAGACGTTATGTGTCCTATGTTCGTCCGACCGGTTTATTGACATGATTTCTCTCCACAGTTTCGTTTCCCCCCAGGATCTGGATCATCGGACACTCCTATGTTTACTGGGCTGGGCAGCGTGCGGAAGTGCGGCCTAGAGGTGAAAGGTTGGGTTTCACGCCTTCCGAAGCAGAGGTACGATGGCTCGGGGCACGGGGTATGAGGTGGTCCCGGCTCCTGCCCGAGTTGGCGCAGCTGTCCCATATCATGGGGATGCCGAGTGTCCTGGTGATCCACCTGGGGGGCAATGATCTGGGCGTGGTGCCCATTTGGGATTTGATTTCGGCGGTGAAGCGGGACCTAGCCCGCATTCTGAATTTGTTCCCCGGGGTGCGCTTAGTGTGGTCTGAGGTCATTGCCCGTAACTACTGGCGTGGCGCCAGGAGCCAGAGTGCGATGGAGCGTTGCAGGCGCAAGTTAAACAGGCGGGTTTCCCAGTTTGTTTTGGGGGTTCGGGGGATCCCGGTCCGCCACAGGGTTTTTGAGCGGGAGGCGGCTCATTTTTTTCGGGGTGACGGGGTACACCTAACGGAGGTCGGGCTCGACCTTTTCAATCTCGCCCTTCAGGAAGCTGTGGAACAGGCCATGAGAGGTTTTGGTGGGGTTCCCCGCTGATTTAGGGGTAAAGCAGCGGGTCTGGTGGCGGGGGTATGTCCTTGCCAATCAAGTTTGAAAGGTTATGTCTAAGGATGGACTAAGTTTTTATGTTTTACAGGTCTCAACCTCCCCTGCTTAAAAGGTTAAACATTAGGTTGCCTGAGGTATCGTGCCCATCGAGCGTGGATAAGGTCGGCTGATGGCGGGCATTGGAAGGATTTTTTATGACGAGGGGGGAGGTGAGAGGAAGTGGTGATTAGGAACCACTGGATGTTTTATTGGCAAGGACGGTTGGGTTTCTGCATAGCACGTTTTGTTATTATATGTATATATGTTAATTTATGATTATTTATTTCTAACAGAAGAGTTTAATAAAAAAAGGTTATGGATGTGTTATGCAGTAATTTATTTATGTTATAATAAATGCTGTGGCCTGTTCATCCATACTAAGTTGTCTGTCGTTATTGGGGGGTTTTATTGGGGTTATATATGTTATGTGGTATCGTAATTCCCCACTACGTACATACAAGGCCCTGGGGAGATAGCGCAGCTAAGTGGACAAGGGCACATGTAGGAGTGTGGGGATAGATACAGGGGAGGGACTTGGGAACTGTGCATGGGAGGGGTTAGGCTTAATGTAAGTTGGTGTGGGGGAGGTCTTACCTCAGTGCCACTTGGGATTCGGGCCAGCAAACAGCTTCCCGCCCACCCACCCCTTTTAGTTTCAGTTAGTCACAGCTAGGCGGGGGTATGTCCTTGCCAATCAAGTTTGAAGGGTTATGTCTAAGGATGGACTAAGTTTTTATGTTTTACAGGTCTCAACCTCCCCTGCTTAAAAGGTTAAACATTAGGTTGCCTGAGGTATCGTGCCCATCGAGCGTGGATAAGGTCGGCTGATGGCGGGCATTGGAAGGATTTTTTATGACGAGGGGGGAGGTGAGAGGAAGTGGTGATTAGGAACCACTGGATGTTTTATTGGCAAGGACGGTTGGGTTTCTGCATAGCACGTTTTGTTATTATATGTATATATGTTAATTTATGATTATTTATTTCTAACAGAAGAGTTTAATAAAAAAAGGTTATGGATGTGTTATGCAGTAATTTATTTATGTTATAATAAATGCTGTGGCCTGTTCATCCATACTAAGTTGTCTGTCGTTATTGGGGGTTTTTTATTGGGGTTATATATGTTATGTGGTATCGTAATTCCCCACTACGTACATACAAGTAACCATGGATGCGGAATCCTTTTACAGTAACATCCCACATAAAGATGGAATGGGCACAAAAATGTCACCCCAATACGCTAATCTTTTCATGGGTGACCTAGAAAACAGATTTGTTATGTACACAGCCCACAGACTATATACAAATTATCATGACGTCTACAATAATTTTATAACATGGACAGAAGGAGAAGAAAGCCTTATAGACTTCCATAAATCATTAAATTCATTCCACCCGTCAATAAACCTTAAAATTAACTTTTCAAATCATTGTGTGAGTTTCTTGGATTGCACAATAACTGTCATCAATGGCATTCTTCATTCATCAGTATATAGAAAACCTAGACAGGTACAACTACCTCCAAAATCCCAGCTTCACACCACAAGGTATCATCTACAGCCAGGTTATCAGATATCACCGCATCTGCTCTTACACAAAAGACAGAGATCGACACCTGAGTACACTGTCAGAGTCCATCCACTTGGACTGAATGAGAGTTTCTCCTTCTCTCCCTTCATCTAAACTTATTTTAGTGTTTCATTTCCTGCCATAGTAGTTTCGTTTTTTATTTGAATTTTTAAATGACACTGATCCTTTATCATTCGTATAGGACTTAGGCTATTTAAGCTCTTCCCCACCTTTCCATTGTCCCTATGGGAGTAACATAATAGGTTTTGGGCCAACCGTTCCTATTAGTCGCACCATTAACCAGAATATGTAATGTAGTGAGCTATATCACTTTGTAGAAGTGTAGTATTAGTACTTATGGTATCTGACATGAATGGTGTTATCATTAGACTTATATATGAGACCAAGGCTATGCTGGTCTCAAATTATACTTCCACCTATGTCGTTTATTTTAGGATGCAGAGGTTACCCACTGATCTTGTATATTCCTTGGTGATCGCCACCATTGGGGTTGAGACCATTAAATCTATAGATATGAATAAGGCTGGGTGTTTCATGACCGTGGGCATTTGGATTTGGGTTTTGCCTCTCTGTCCCTTATCAATATGTGCATAGAGGTCTTTGGATTTCCATTGAGCATACACTTGGGTGGAGCTCTTTTGTTTACACATTTGGAGAACCTTAATGCATCTATTTGTAGGTTGCATCTGTTATAATGTATAGTTAGTCCCCTCGTGTGTTTGTTACTCTTTATTTTCCCCTTTATATAACAGCAGGTGTTTTAACTTATGTTGGGAGACATGTATCGAGTGGCGCCCATCGAGACGTCAGGCATGCGACCCCTGCCTAAGGTAATATAACAAGAAGCATATCTATTCCCTTTTTGATTGATCTCTTGAACAGGGCTAGTGTGTGAGTTTAGAAGTGACTTAATATTAAAGTTTAATTTGGAAGCCCATCTTGTTAATCACAAAATTATCCTGAACTCACCACCTAGACATCAACCCCTTTAAATAAGTGTGGGTTACTGTTGGGGTAAACATTACCCTTGGGGATACTACTTGTGCCTTTACCATGTCCCCAATTACAATTCTTTGGGATAGAGATAGAGGTTTCTGTATATCCCTTTCCTCATTTAATTGTGCTTGCTGAGACTAATGGGAGTCTACTTCTTCGCTACCAAACTAATCAGACTTATTCCGGTCGTCCTCCTTAGGAAGTACAGTAGTAATGTCGACATCCGTGATGACGTGTGCTCCGATGATTGGTTTAACCCTGGAGGAAGGAGGGACTACTTCGGGGGTGTTCCTTGTTGACGTTTGTGCCGATGATTGGTTTAACCGTGGAAGAAGGTAGGACTACTCCTTTTTAAAATCAGGTGTATGACAGACGCAATCTTGCTCTTGATAAACGCGCATCCTTATGCCGAAACGCGCATCGAGGCTTTTGTGCCCATGCACTTTCTTTGATTTGTTTTTATAGTGCACTTTCCAGTAATGAGGGATTATGTAGGCATCTCTGTACTTTGTTCCCTGAGACTAATGCAGGTAGACTGTAGTTGGGGAGCTGCCTCAACGCGGGTTGATAGGGGATTGTAGATATAGGAGATCAAGGGGAGTACACATACTCTAGTTTATGTTTACATAAGTAGATTCCCTCCCTCTTATTTTCTCACATACTGGGTATCCAGTTAATATCAGGTAAGCTGCCTCGTAGCAGCAGTTTAGGAGGAATATCTTCTTATAATATAATGAGGTCTGGGTCAACTCTGTGATCGAAACTATCATACTTTATTTCTTCCCCGTCTTGCCCCCAACCTGCACTTCTGTCTTGGCGGTCTTTGGTGCCTCTCCGTGATGTGTCCACTGTGATCAGATTAATAACTCTCATAACTTTAGCATACTCCTTTGATGTAACATTTCTTACTTTCTGACTATATGTGTGTAACAGATGCCCTGTTCCTGGAGTTTATTTTTATTTCATTTCTGGACCTTATTTGTATTCAATTTGTCTGAATCAGTATACAAACCAAAACAAACAGACTTTACCCTAGCTGGGTCGTATACTGAACTCCTGAACCACTCGAAGCAGTCGTGTGCCACCAATTGACCTTATTGACACTGCTCTAAACCGCAACTCTGAAAATTCTAAGTGGTTCAATGGGTGGCTGTCAATTCGTATGCACGAATACGTGGCGGTGGCCAGCTTGTTTTGTTGAATGTATCCAGCGATGTTTGGTCGTCAAGTGTATGGAACTATTTTCGGACACTCAACGTCCTGAACACCGCTGAGACATCCAGGACCACTTAGTTTCATCCCAATCCATCCGGTGAAAACCAGCACGACCGGCCACACAAGCTGATTTTATTAAACTATTCTGGGCCCTGAACCGTTTTGGGTGATTTTTGGATATATTACTCACCCAGATCAGTGCTATCAGGGGATATACTTTTTATGGGGTTCTTGTGTGCTTTTGGGGTATTACCAGAAAGTGTATAAAATATGTTATTTTTCGACTTATAGATAATTGAGTTGATACAATAATTAACTCTATCTCCCAAGCAGAGGGGAGGGATTGTATGCCATGTGTGGGAGTGCCTTAGATTGTAGCTCTATTGTTATTGGTGTATACATTTGTGTCCCTGTCCCCAACAAGGTCCATGTGGGTGTCACCCTTGCATGGGAACTTGCATAATAGGCCAGTGTGGCTACCATTAAACCATTCCTGCTTAACCCTCAACATGAAGCCTCGTCTCGTGATTGTAGGGAACGGCTATACAGCTATACCACTAGCTCTTGTAAGAGCTTCATAGCTTTATTGGATCCTTGGCTGGCTGAGATATCAAGTGGAGAATGCTACAGCACTGCTCCTACGAAGGGAAAAGGACGTCTCTGGCGGCATATACCCCTTCACTCTCGGGGTGGCCCTTACAATGTGTCTCTTTGCTACTACAAAGATACTGTTGCAATATAGGGATACAGACTCGGTATGCTGAGGTTAACATTTTTATTATACGTTCGGGCAGACATCTAATCCGGTTTTATTTTTTTATTGTCTCACCACACACTATCTTGTTTGTTTTTATGTATATAGTTGTCTCGTTCTCTACTAAGGATATCAAAAAAGTTGCTTTTTTTTGTTGCGATTACCTTTGATTGTAGTTAGTTGTAGTAATTTCTTGTCAGGATTACTGTTGATCCAGCACACAGAATTGTATCACACCTAGGACTAAGGATAATGTCTAACCAGACCTTAGAATGGCCTTACTTAACGTACCACAGAATAGTCAAAATACTTGCCGAGGTCAGGGTCACAGAACGAAGAACAGTGATAAGGAAAAGCCAAAAGTCAAGGCTACCAGAAATTCAGGGAAGTCAGAACGAAGCCAAAGTCAAAAATCAGATATACACGATCAGAAACACACTCTAGGATAACCATCAAAGGGAAACCACGACAGGGCACTGACAGCAAGGTAATTTGGGTTTAAATACCTCTCCTTTGGCTGTAATTGGCTGTCTCCGACCTCTGTCCGCAAAACATGCGTGCGTGTCTATGACGTTGCACGCACATTGGCGCTATCTTTGGTGTGGGCGAAGGTAAGTTTACTACAAAAATCTGAACCGCAGCAGTCGGCGCTCCGAAGAGCGTCACACCTGCTGGGGACCAGACCAGAGGGAGATCGGGCAGTGGTCTGCTGCGAGCAAGGTAAGTATGAATTGTTTCTGTTGGCGTCGTTGCTTACTTTATGTGCAAGTATGCCAGCAGAATCACCGGGAGCCGTGACCCTTCTCTCATTAGTCTTTATACACTGTCAGAGTCATTTAGACGAAAGGGCTATAAGCAGGGACGGACTGGCCCACCAGGATACCGGGAAATTTCCCGGTGGGCCGCAGCACCTGGGGCTGGGCTGACAGCCCTAATCATTGCTCAGGCTCCTGTGATCCCGGCCGGCCATGTGCGAGCTGTGCGGCTGCACAGGGCCCCATGGGAGCAGAGGGAGCCAGACAGACGGCACAGCTCACACATGGCTTGTCGGGATCATAAAAAAATAAATAAATAAATTGTGGCGGGGCGAAGCTAGCGTGCGGTGGGGCGGGGCTTATCGTGCGGTGGGGGCAGGGCTTAGCGTGCGGCAGGGAGCCTGGTTAATGCAGCATGGGAAGCAGGAAGGAGTCCCTGCTTCCCCAACAACCAGCTTCCAGGAGCTCCAAGGGATGTGGAGGTAAGAAGCAGGTCAGTGTGTCTGTGTGTGACTGCCTGTGAGTGTGTGACTGTGTGACTGTCTGTGTGTGTGACTGTCTGCCTCTGTGTGTATGGATGACTGTGTGCCTGTGTATGACACTGTCTGTGTGTGTGACTGTCTGATTCTGTATGACTGTCTGATTTGTGTGTGTGTGTGTGTGACTGTCTGCCTCTGTGTGTATGTATGACTGTCTGTCTGCCTGTGTGTGTGACACTGTCTGTGTGTGTGTGACTGTCTGCCTTTGTGTGTGTGTGTGTGTGTGTGTGTGACTGTCTGCCTCTGTGTGTATGTATGACTGTCTGCCTGTGTGTGACACTGTCTGTGTGTGTGTGACTGTCTGCCTCTGTGTGTATGTATGACTGTCTGCCTTTTTGTGTGTGTGCGTGTGACTGTCTGCCACTGTGTGTATGTATGACTGTGTGTGTGTGTGGCACTGTCTGTGTGAGTGTGGGCTGTCTGCCACTGTGTGTATGTATGACTGTCTGCCTGTGTGTTTGTGACACTGTCTGTGTTTGTGTGACTGTCTGCCACTGTGTGTGTGTGTGACGTTGTGTGTGAGTGACTGTCTGCCTTTGTGTGTATGTATGACTGTATGCCTGTGTGTGTGGGTGTGTGGGTGTGAGTGTGTGGCTATCTGCCTGTGTGTGTATGACTATCTGCCTGTTTAAGTGTGTGGCTGTCTGTGTGTGTTTGACTGTCTGCCTGTGTGTGTGTGGCTTTTGGTGTGTGTGTGGATGTCTACCTGTCTCTCTGTGTGTGGATGTCTGCCTCTGTGTGCGTGTGTGGGTGCCTGCCTCTGTGTGTGTGGATGTCTGCCTCTTTGTGTGTTGATGTCTGTGTGTGTGTGCATCTGCTAGTGAGTGAGTGAGCTTCTGTGTGTGTGTGTGTGCGCATATGCTAGTGAGTGAGCTTCTGTGTGTGTGCACCTGCTAGTGAGTTTGTGTGTGTGCCTGCTAGTGAGTGAGCTTGTATGTGTGTCAGTGAGCTTGTCTGTAGGGATCGTGTGTGTGTTAGTGAGCTTGTCTGTAGGGAGCATGGGTGTGTCTGCTCCTGTCTGTGGGGAGCATTTGTGTGCAGT